TGTTTCTACCAGGAACTGCAGCAGCCGTATAAAATTGAAGAACGGCCTTTGCAGAGATCACATACAGTTTGAATGGGTATCTGTTGTTTGGCAGTCCGGTGTTTTGGATTTCGTTGGTTTCTCCTTGGGTTTACGAACTCTAGAGATTCGCATCTTCGTCTCGCGCTACTGAGTGATTTTGCCGTAATACTTCCCATACCTTGTTATTTTATTCTCCCGTGCATTCGCTTCTCTATCGTTTTTCAAGTCGATTCATAGATACGCATGGTAACAGGGTACTATTTTTGGTGCATTCTTCTCGCCAGAAAGCTCTCAGATGTGTTCCTCCCCTAGTTGCTGACCCTTCTTGACAGTTGTAGTTGAGAGTCATAGAAAAAGAGTCCGCGTTCATCACCGATGAGTTTGCCGGGAACACCTGGGACACAAACACCCTTAGTAGAAATAAGTATTCAAATCTCGCAGTATCGAAAGAACCTCAGTCTTTCTCCCACATGTGCCCCACTGTAGCCCCGGGTGACACAACTGCGGAACACAACTCTTGCGCTAAGTATGTCTATTGCCGATGCAGTGAAGGAGGTAATGAAGCAGAATTGCTCCTTCGTGATGTAAGTTCATGGATGTGAATCAGTTTCACTTGCCCAATGTCTCATGAGTCCGTGTTTAGGTCGAGGCTGCTTTGAGGAGACAATAAAAGCCACTCGAGCACTCGCTACTGTGACGCTATCGTTTGCCCTTACCATCACTATGAAAAATAGCTACGCAATGAATACGGTCAGTGATGGTTCGTCGAATGTCACAGTAATAAACGGTCCAAGAAGATGAACTGAAGGCCAAACATGAGAAGAAACATTTCCTCATTCTAAAGTTGCTGTCGCCCTGCACCGACACTGATAGTCCGGCCGATAAGCTTATCTAAACGCAGGCCGCGCTAGCCGTCTCAGGAAAAATCTGATTGGGCTGGTTTCGTTGGGTGCTAATGACTCGTTCCGTCGCCATGAACCGTGCTCCACAGTAGTCCATCACAGAAATACTCTACTTTGACTTTCATTTTCGGCTAGTTGAAGTGATTAAGATGATGGAGCCAAAACACTTCCGTTTCGTCTTAGTCCTGCGGATCGCAATCCCAGCTGAAACTATATCTCTCGTCGATCGGTGATACAGAAACAAGTAAGTAGGGGTATTCTTATGGAGGTTCCCCTCTCGTCACCTGATTACACAGACGTTGACCCGACCACAGGTGAATTTTCTTTAGATCTAGAATATGCAGATGACATAGTCCTGTTAGGTGAAGACGCTGACAAGATGCAGAGTCTTCTCAACACTTTGAGTGGGAATTCGAGAATGTTTGGGATGCGATTTTCACCACCCAAATGCAAATTTCTGCTCCAGGACTGGTCTTCAGCAGTACCACGGTTAACGATAGAGAGTGAAGTGGTTGAGTGTGTTGACCACTTCACCTGCCTGGGAAGTAGGATCAACCCCGGTGGGTTAGTTGCCTATGAGATTTCTGCACGGATGCAAAAGGCTCGATTGGCTTTTGCCAATTTGCGCCACCTATGGCGCCGCCGTGATGTTCGTTTGTCTATTAAGGGTCGCGTGTACTGCACAGCAGTCCGCTCTGTTCTACTATATGGCTGTGAAACATGGCCATTGAAAGTGGAGGATACAAAGAGGCTTCAGGTGTTTGACCACCGTTGCCTTCGTAATATAGGACGTATTCCGTGGTGTCACCATGTGAGTAATGCAGAAGTTAGGTGTAGAGTTTTGGGGAGAAGAGGTAAGTCAGTTGACGAGGTTGTGAACCTTCATCGACTGAGATGGCTGGGACACGTACTACGTATGCCTAGTCACCGATTGCCTCGTCACACAATGTTGGCTGAGGTGGGTCCAGGCTGGAAAAAGGCCCGAGGTGGCCAAACTAAAACATGGCACCAATGTGTGAAGTCTCTGACTGTTGGTTTAAGCCATGTAGGACGATGCAGACTAGGTGGTTGGGGTCGGCGGGACAAGAGAAACCAGTGGTTGGAGACCCTAGGTGATATGGCTCAGAACCGAAGTCAGTGGTGCAGATGTATACACACATTATCCTCATCTTGACAACGCTATACCGAATCTCACCATTTTGTCACTCCTCCTTTCTTTCTTCTCGTACTTTATATTTCTTTTGACTGTATTCACTTATCTTCATCCTTCACCTCACTACCTTTTTGCTTGATGTGCTGATATGAGGTGTGGCAACTCGGACCGTTGCGCAGTAATGCCTGATCCTATGTTGATAATGATGATGAAGTAGGGGTAGAGAGCAGGGGGAGGGTGGAGTGGTAGTGCACCCGAGTGATCAGCTGGAAAATGATTGGGACCTTAAGGTAGTTTTTACAAATTCTGTACCAGGTAAGGTACTTCTTTGCGGCCAGGCACAATAACTAAGTTGTAAGAAAAGCTTGTTGACTCCCAACTAAAGATGGGGAACAAGAGTGGCAAGTGATTCCAGTGTTGTCCACAGCGCAAATTTCGTGGTACGACCACATTTCTTAGCGGAGGATTGTAAGAACCAAAAGGAGAAAGGTCAACTCATGCTGAGTGTCCATTCGACCTTGCAAGGAGCCATTGAAAATTCTGGATGATGCAAGAAGACTATCGACGATACCAGCTGTGACCACACGTAGAGCCAACTAAGCTGAAGCATCCGTGGACTAGACGCTGACTGTTGGCACGGGTCCCCCACAAACAACTTCTACTTTTTAGTAGCAATCGCGTCACGGTGGTACTTGATCTAGAGATCAACCAAGGACCACGATGGATGAGCTCCCTTTCTAGCCTTTGTGACAGCCTGACAAATTTTGCGGTGACTAAATAAGAGTCTTTCGACAGCTACGTGGACTTAGAAGTGGTTTCCTCAGTGATTTCACCATGATTGGAACGATTTAGGCATAATAAGGAGCGATTTTTGTAACGCTCTACAAGTGGCAGTTACACGCAAACAATGAGCCTCCTGGCTTAGAAAGAAAAGGAGTGATTAATATAAGTCGGGAAGTAAATATGGGAAAAGCGGAAGGCTCCACGTAGTTGCTCACATATGGCCTCACGGAAACGGCATAATATCAAGTGACAAAGAGGTGATAGGTTATTCTGAACAAACCTCGTGTGAACGCTTGTGATAAATAATCCATAAATCTGTATCGGCTACTGGCAAAGCAAAACTTCACTAAACAGAGGAGGTGTTATTAGGAGCTGTAGTAGGGAGAACGTCTTGGTCTTGGAAAACGTTGAATCCATCGGCCCCACCTCTGAGGTATGGCCCACCAACCCAACGGTTAACCACTCTTATCAAAAGTATGAACGGCCTCCGGATTCATCAGGTGCAGGAGATACGCACGGGTCACAGACATTGGTACGTTTCTTGAAAATATGTCAAGGCTTTGTGAAGGAAAATCCTCAGGATGTGATGAATTACAACCATCGACGTTGGAACAATGTACCCCATATGGCAATCAGTGTGATCTTTTCCAGCACCCCTACGAAAACATCAGCTCTCGCGCTAGTGAAAACGTGCCATCCTCACATTTATTCTGAAATTGGTATTTTCCAAAATGCGAGCATCTTGCAGCGCTTCTACCTGTTGTGTTATAGGTAACGAAACGCCTCTTAGAAAGTTGTGCAAAGTGAGGCTCGAACAAAAACATGCGACGTGAAAAAGCTCAGTGTTAAATTCCAGAGGCGTGTGCGCTGCCCATGACATCGTGGCAGACTACGACAACGGTTTGTGGAACACCAAATTAGGTCGTTTTCCGACTGTTGTTTTAACCCCTTTTTGTATATTATCCTACGCGCAGTCTGAGCTAGGGTATTCTATTGTACGTTAACGATGTTATGTCCCGAAGAGCCATGGGTTATGAGGGTTACCAGAACTCCGTACAAGACGTCCTCACGAGTTCGGAAAATCTGTAGAAAATGAGAGAGGTCTCATTTAACCTGGATAAGTAGCAAGGGACGCTTATACGCACCAAAGATTAGTAAAAAATGACATCATTCTCTGCGTGACATTCATCTCCGTCACATATATTTGGAGAAGCGTCTTGGTTCAGCACCGACGGGCCACCTCGAGACGAATCCAAACCATCCGGGAGACGCCACTAGGCACTATATGGTAGAGTACTCCGTGGGTAGACAACTGGTTGCTCTAGGCAAGAGTTCCTCCTGAAACTTTAAAATAATACCTTGGGACCTCACTCGAGTGTGGTTAGAGTTGTTGCTTTAGTTCACTTGAAGAGGTCTATGAACCTCCTGAAGAAAGTTCGGAGAAGAGTCACAAACCACATTGCAGGACCTCAGAGAAAATGACTTAAGAACAGACTGAAGGATAGGCGTTTTTACGCCTTGTAGTCATTACGGGACACATGATCGTCCAATCTTGGCTTAGAAAACATTAGGTGTTGTAATCCATCCATCTTTCTCTCTCTTTTACCGAATCGTTCAATCCCATTCGTTTCAGTTCACCCTATCTTTCTCGTACCTTCTGAAAACTAAACCTAAATTTGCTTTGGTCCCCCTCTCCCTTCATATATTGCTCTCTTTGTTTGTCTTCTGAACGCTCCAATCTATTTTTTTCACGGACAATTTAATACAACTGTCCAACGACACTACACCAGATCTCATTTGTACCACTGTCCCATGGCAAAACATGCGTCTCCACGGCAACTTCAATAAAACATAACATCCCACCACTTTTGCTAAAACAAATGACTCAGCCTACTAGACTAAAATCCACAAAAGTCCTAGGATCGTTAGGTAGGATCAAGAAGAACGCATGAAGAGATCAACACGATTTCGAAACCGACATCGTCCCATGAAAGTGTATTCACTCGTGTACCAGGTAACAATAAGATACTATCTTAACCAGAAATGAACAAGAAACCTAAACAACATGAAATAAGGCTGTTAAATTTTAATCTTTGACACTTAATGCATTACCTTATGCGCTTTTGTTTAACCTAGTCAACATACTTTATTTGTCATGACAACAAGTTTCACAAACTTAGTTTTCAGACTTTTGATCAGCACCACAAATGTGCAACTATGAGGTACTGATAATTTTGTGCAGATAATCAGTATGGAAGAAGTGAGAAACTAGTTTTATCTTTCATAAAATGAAATAAGTGTATGTGAGCTAACATGTATTAGCATGAGGATTTTTTTTCAGATTTAGAATTGTTGTTTGTAGATAGAAGACTGTTAGCCTTTAATAATATTTTTCCAGTAGTTCTCTCGATCCATCCTGTCCTCTTTCAAACGCGTCAGTTGATGATACTGACACCACATCTTCTAAGAGTCGGTTCCATCAGTTGATTACACGACGCGAGAACCATCCAGCCAGCATTTACTTTGGGCGCACTTTGCAGCTTCTTAACAGAATCCCGAAAAATTTACTAAGTATACAGATAGTGTGATGAACAATATTCTCCGAATGTTCCAAACCTTTGGTCCAAAAGTGTCAAAAGTTCCAAATCGCGCATGAAATTGAAAGCACGTTTCACACTGACCGAAAGCCATATACAATTCGTTATTGTGAAAATAATTTTGTTTTCTAACTACAGTGGTACATAACCTTTTGTTCCTCTTCATTCTGTTTTGCTTAAGCTCTTTGGCGTACTGAATAGGTGAGTGCTGTCCGTGTATTTTTAGACAAGTATAGGGACCACCTCCTCACCTTCAGACAATTCAGTAACCTATGATAATTGCATTAGTTTTAATCCATCGCGACTGTTGCGAAATCATTGCTGAATATGGGTCAGGATTTTTTTCGACAGTCAATCCTTTGTCGTCACTTCCATACCTGTGGATGTTAAAAAGGACGCCTTATTACATGATAAAATGGAAACGGGAACTTACTGATGACAAGTTTTGACATCAGCTTTTGCTTAAAGGGACGCTTGTCCTGCATACAAGACGACGGGTACAGCATGTTGAAGTTGGGTTCCAGCAGCGTACCCATTATGCGACGGACAGAAATACCCATGTCCGATTCTGCGAGGTAAGACAACTCCTGCACTGCAGCTCTGCAATATTCGGGATCAGTCATATCACGTACGGATTCTTGCATTCGCAGATAACCATCAATAAGCCGCTTTCCGGAGGCTTTAAATTTCTCGGAAGAATTTATTGTAGCAACCTGTTTGCACAAAGAACTAGTTAACATCAAGCTGGCATTCATTTTCTCCAGTCTACTCAAACGCTTGGTCAAGTCACTAGGATACTTTTGATTGAATTCAAAAATGTTGGTTTGTACTTGGGCATTCTCAGTAAGCCTGTGTCCAATATTACAGTAATAGATAGACTTACGCGGTGGCATTGAAAGTAGGCAAAATCGATTAACCATGCACCGATGAAGATTAGCTACTGTAATTCAATAAACGCCATGAAATTACATCACCTGCTGGAGAATGAACCGGCAAACGGCTTACTGAACACCGTTGAACTGAAATCGAAGCCTCCATCTTCCGGAAGTCGCGACGAGTAGTCTGCAGACACCCCAGTTTCATGTATTTTAGCCTTGCAGACAATGCAGCTGAAAACAGGAATTAATGAAAGTTAGATGCATACCGGTTACGTCTCACCTCACTTACTGGCTTGGTATCCGATGTTGATAAGTCTTTTGAACTGCTATGCAGCCTTTCAAGACCTGAATACTCTTTGGGAGCCTTATCGGTGTTGTCTGTAACAGGTGATTTATACTAGAGGATAACACTGTAAGTCACAAGCGGCTTAAGCCTGTACGATGAAAAACCCTCGGTGGGCTGGATATGGTTTTTAACATCAAGCCGCATGTAACCTTTAGTTATACTGACGTACCCTTGTGTAAGTTATGTTTTGGATACTAGGACTAAGACGGGTACTTTTGAAATTACACAATTAGACATCTGAAAAAATAAACTGATTAGTGCATGCTATTTCAATAAACAACCAGAAGGGAAGGCAGGAATCACGCTTCACTTCTAAACTTTGACAAGTACACAAGAAGTCACATATACATGTAACAAAATATATGTATACAATGCGGAAGAATGACAAAGTTATACGAATTAACGATAATTTCTTCTGTTAACCTGTGAACTACTATCCATGTTTCTGCAGACAGCGTTCAGTGAGTTCCGTCTGGATGGTGTGAAACAAGGGAATTACTATGGAATAGTTATTCAAAGGCAAACACGTACATCTAGCTGATATTGTTGCGTAAGCGACTATACTCGTGGTTACTTCAAAATTGTCAACCTGATAAACCCCAATGTCTACCGAATCCATTGTTATAATGAAAAGGGACTTAGGATTACAATGCCCTCGAAACAGAAAGTGTATACCATTCAGAACCTGAGTTACAGTCGCAGGTCGCGACCCAAGTAAAATACAGATATCTGGATATACGGTACCAATAGTAAACCTACTTAAAAACGCTTTTTGCTCATCGGTATGTATAAATACGCTTTTCCCATACGTAACCACAGAAGTTTCCCTTTCAACCAAGAACCTCTTGGCAAGCCGTTTGCTGAAATGGACGGTGAGATTACTTGGACCGTTTACCAGCCTCTATATGTTGTGTATGTATGAATCAAAGGGAAAGCTAGACAACGATTGCAGTTGGCCGTGTTCTGAGACGTCGTCGCACGAGTGTGGTAGTCCATGAGCATTGTATACCATATTCTCAGTCCCCTGAATGGTCTGAAAATTACGAACTTATTAAGCTTTACTGTTATGCTGTCTAGATGACCATAGTAATGGAGTGGGTGACTTAGTAGGTAAGCGCTTTAAAATAATTCCATGAAGTGGTCATACAAGAGGGAGGATAAAGTATCTTTTACACATGCCACACCTAAGTACACATGGAACAGGCGACATTTGGTCGCCTTCCACCTATCGGTCTCAGGCAGCGATTGGCCCTTACTTTGAAATCCACATGGAGTGATAGCATAGGAGCTGAATAACCTGTCGGCAATTCGGTTTGTTATATGGCCATTCATACAATTCTTTCTAGATGAAGCTAGGTCTTACCACAAGCCAAGAGTCTTTCAAACAACCCCTGGTAATAATAGTGCATAGAGTCCAGTGGGAAGGCCTTAGTCATACTGATACTTAATTTCTCAAATAGAGACCTTCTACGAAGATGATGCGTGTCTGTTTGACATCAGAAGCAACGGTCTCCTCTAAAATTATCAGGCATGCACCCAAAACACCCAAAGTGTATACAATGCGCCCAGAGTTTCCAGAGTGTCGGTATTGCGTCCGAAGATTTGGAATAACCTATACCCGAAGCCATGAGAAAGCATATTCCGTAATATTGTTATGTGGATATCCGAGGTTTATGTGCCACATGTGTTTGTGTAATAAAAATCGAATAAATGCCAACGGCAAACTGAAATATTTGTGGAATTTAGGGGGCATGCCCAAACATTGGTAGGTGCTCCTGAAGTTACCTCGGGCTAAAACTCGAAAGTTCCAAAGTGCGTCTAAAGTAAATGCTGGCTGGAGAGTACTCTGGGTTTCAGATTTATTCAGATTTGTTGTTTGAGGATAGGAGGTTGAAAGCCCATATTAATCTTTTTCTAGTAGATTTCTGTGCTTGTCTAATCCCCTTTTGCACGAATCAATCGATGATGCGGACACCAATTCTTCTGGGAGTCAGTCCCAGGTGTTGATTACTCGACATGAGAACCAGTACTCTGAGGAGACTGTGTTCATCGTTTGCTTTCGTGGTCTCCTACTATATCCTGTCAGGTGTTCCGACCTAATGGGAAGGGAAAGAAAAGATATATCAGGTCCAAAGTCACATCTTAGAATCTTGTATAGCATAATTATGTCTCCAATCTATCTGTGATAGGATAAAGTGAAGAGGTTCAGCTCCTTATATCTATCTTCATAGGTGAGGCCAGCCATTGCAGGGATCATACGAGTCGCTGTCCTCTGAACTCTTTCTAGAAGGCCTATTCACCTCTCATGCAAAGATTATCCGCCTGTATACACTTTCCTAGTTTAGATTTAGCCAAGTCTATGTTTAAGATGATTGACACATGATCATTTATTTTTGTTAAAGTTCTGAGTAATGCACAAAGTGTGTTTATAATGAGAGTTAAGATCAATCGGCAGTGTTCCACGGTTTTCAAATTAAAACTCACTGTACCTTCTAAGTCATTGTGGATCATTAGTGATGGTAGAGTGGTCCCACCAATATTTTGGGTGTTGCTGTATGTGTGCTCTGTTTGTATCCTTAGACATTTATCTGCATTGATAGGCATCAGCGACTTCTTTGAACCCGTAAACAAACTATTCAGGTCTTTCTAAAGTATATGTATATCCTAGTCTTCCGTAATTTCCTCGCCAGATATTTGTATCATCAGCATAGAGAACCATAGGAGATTTCATGATATTCGGCAGCTCAATTATGCACATGAGAAATAGAGGGAGATCCAGGACAGTACTTTACTGCACTTCACTCTCCACCGACTTTGAAGAGGTAAGTTTAGAAGCGATCCTTGTTCTTTATCTCCTACCAACAAGGAACTCTCTTATCCATGCACATATGATGCTAGTGATTCCAACACTTTCCAGCTTTTCGAGCAATCTAGAACGAGGAACCTTGTCGAAAGCCTTACTGAAGTCCCTGGAAATGGCATCTACAGGTGTTCCACCATCTTTAGACTTGACCCAATTTCTCTGACTGTGAGAAGGTTCAGCAAGCAAGAGAAATTTCTGTGACAGTAATGCTGCAAACGAGACAGTAGAGTGCTGTTCTCTAGGTGAGTTGTGATGGCTTTCTTGATCACTTTTTGTGGAACTTTTACTACAGTACCAGTCAAAATTATCAGTCCGCAACTTGACAGATGCTGCTTAGAGCCTGCCTTGTGTATAGGTATAACTATGGCATTCTTTCAATTATAGTGGAGTGTGTCTTCAATGAGGAACAATCTCAGTATGGTGGTCAAGGGGCTGGCCACATAGAGTGTAAGCTTTCTAAGCAGCTTTGGGTGCAGCTCATTCGCTCTAGTTAATTTTCCTACATCGAGAGTACTTAGTCTCCGAAATACATCACTGCGATCAATATTCACAGTTTATTCTGTTGGATGTCAATGC